CTCTCCCATATCACCTTTTCAGCTTTCTTGGCTGGAGAAAACCTTTAATCAAAATAATTTGATCTTCATTGATTCTATAACTTACTGATTTTAGATAACAGTAATTCTTCCCCTTCCCCCCACCCCGCCCCGCCAATTTGATGCACACTTCAGGCTCAGATAAGTTTTGAAGTGCCTAAGTCAACACTGTCAGCAAAAGGATTATCCACAGCCTTTTGCATCTCCCTGTACAACACTCACTCTTCTTCTGGCATGAACACTCAGAGAACAGGATCTAAAAGCTATCCTGATGTAGTCTAAACAAGTTAGGAAAATCATCAGGTTAATTTTTAAATCCAGACTCATTCCTACATCTCACCCATTGCATAGCCACACAAGTAAATTCTTTATGCACAATGGAGGGAGCAGCATGGGAGTCCTTCTAGTGCAGTACCAGTTTATTATGTCAATCTGTAGGATATGAGAAGCTAAGAAACGAGAACTGCCCTAACTGCAAGACCAAAAAAAAAAAGTTATTCTCAGAATTACTCTCTATTTGAAACCTACTTTTATAGATTAAAGTGGTTTGTACTAGCAATACTTGGACAAAAGATTGAACTGCTTAGTGACTGTTTACTTATTCTGCAGTTCTCTCTTCATTATAAAAGCCTTTTTTGCATGCGGATTTGCAGAAAGTCAGCAATGGTAAGTTTGCATCAATTTATTGCTGGTAACTTCTGATTGAAGTAGCTGAATTTACTCCGCTTTCAAGCTGAAATAATCTCAACTAAGGACAAATAGAAGTTTTCCCTGCCTACATTAAAGTTTTGCATTAGTATAGCTGTACCAATGGCTTTATTTTAGTACAGCTCTACCAGTGGCCAAAGCCCAAGTACAGTAATGTCCAAGATATACACCTAACTCAAACTGAAATCTGTTTTCTCTGTTAACCAAAGGTGTTTCAGGCTTTTGCATTTATATTGCATCTAGGCACCTAGTTGATAGATTCGATGGGTGCAGTCTTACAGGGGAAAGGTGAACAGTACTTCAGAGGAGAGAACTAATCCTTGGAAACTCATTTTTTTTCTGGAGATCTAAGTTTCACCGCAACTGTGTTACCCTCACTTAGTAATAGTTTTTAGTAGAATCATTTTTAAATTAAAAAAAATGCAGCTTGGTTAAATACTCAAATCGGAGGCTAAGCATTTTCTCAGTAAAAACAATGCAATTTGAACATATGACCTAGTCCTTTACTTCAAAGGGCTTAATCATATGGTGTACAAATCAAAACACTCAAAAAAAAAAATCAGCATAGTAGACTGAAACCATGAAGGAATTTTTAAAAGCTTTCACATTTTCTACTGTACTATTAAGGATATTACATGGAGAGACCAGCTTGTATGAACTTGCTCCAAAACCTACAGATGATAATGTTTTAAATGATCATAGACGAACAAAAGACCTCACCCACTGGAATCTGTGTCAGGAAATACAGGAAGAACGCACAAGAATTTCCCATGATATCTCTCTCTGGAAGGTATGTTTCCTTACATGATAAATATGTCTTAAAGGTAGGGTAAACTTAAACTGCAATGCCGTTTGCACAGACAAGTCTAGAAATCTCACTCCCAATGAGTAGGGTAAGTCCCCAGATCCCAGGCTTTGTGCAGGCTTTACCACAGATCACAACAGACCTGCAACCACTCTCATCTGTGCACAGCTACTACATATACTTTGTATACGCTATGTGGACATGTGGCTTTTTTCCTCTTTCAGTTGCTAGATAGCATCTACAAGAACACTTATTTGTAAAGGAAATCATTGTTCTTCATATTCAGAGACTTTATGGCTTCTTTCTCAGAGAAAGAAAATCTCTTGTGAACAGAAGTAACAGTAACACTGCTTAGAGTAGGAGATGTCGACAGAGCAAAGACTTTAAATATAAGGACAGCTACTCAACGGTGTAAAGAGAGGTGAGGGAAGTGTTCCAACCAAACCTGAGGGAGGACTTGGGACAGGCTGAATGTTATGCACCTTAGTACTCCGGATCTGCGACTGACTGACACATTCCTAAGAGCAGCCTCCCTTCTTATCACTGTACAAGGTACACAAACAATCATAGACATTTTCATGCTCTACCACTACATCAGCAAAAGCTCATATTAAATAACTCCTCATGGAAATATTAAAAATACACAAATCTCTCAAATACAACACTCCTTCCGTACACACAAATCACAGTTGAAAACAAAGCTTTTTCAATTGAATTTACACAACAAAATAACTTTACAGAAAAAGATGCTATTTCATAATGTAGTGAAAAGGTTTCTTCCCAATATCTTTAACTAAGGCATCATCTCTTTCGAGGCACCAATAGCACTGTGTATTAGAACAGTGCAACGCCCCTCTTAACTTTTGGTCAAAAATGGTTATTAAATTTCTATTTTCAATCAAATACAGTTTTGACAGGTCTTTAGAATCTGCTTGTAGGTACTAACTTAAAGGAAGAAGTTGTGTCCCACCCGAAGCAAATGCTGCAGCCTGTTAGCAGCACGAATAAATGTTCTCCTACTGAATAATATCAACCATGACTCAGACTTGCTTCCTCCAAACAGAAGATTTCAAGATTTGGTACTTGGGAAGTAAAGCTTTTCTCTGCAGTCATTAAGTTGTAAATTTCCCTCTTTTTTCTTTCCTTCTGTTTTAAAGCTGAAAACTAACATTCTCACATCATCATTTCAGAAAGAGCTGGGCCTTTAAGAAAAAGATCAACTAAGACATAAAATAAGGAAAAAAGGAAAAAAGGAAAAGAAACATTAGCTGGCAGAAAACAAGCAACAAGCTACACAGCATTGTTTCTGTGACTAAATATTTAAACTCTGTCGCAGCTTTACAAAGCACAGTAACAACAAACCTGCAAGAATCACAGTATTAGTATCCACAAATAAGACATTGTTCATTGTGGAAGCCTTACAACAAGCTTCACAACAAAACACTGCCAGTTCCATCAAGCTAAGCTGAAAGGAATTTCCATATTTTAAAAGACCCAAGCATGGAAAGTAAGCTATAATATTTATTTGCCCTTTAAAGAACAAACATGCACACAGAGGAACAGGTTACATTGACACAGAAATAACCCAAAGCTTTATTTCCAAATTTTGGAATGCTTACCAGTCACACTTTTCCGATCTGAAACTAAAGCAGGGAAAGACACCTAAGAACCTGCCTAAAAATGAACAAAAGCCAATCTACAGTCCTGGAGTTAAAAATTCAAGTAGAGATATCAGTGATTCTAACTACTTGCATGGTGCAAATCACATAAAAAGTCCACTGATTAGATTTAGTCAGAATTAAAGCATCTTGCAGATGCAAAAATAAATATAGAAGAGCCATTTTTTACAGGTTCGGAACACTGCCACTCCAGGTAGGCTGCCCAGCTGACAGTATTGCTCAGTGTCATTAAAGAGATTATTTTCACTGGAGCTTGGAAATTTAGGACAATGCACATAGTGTCAGCTCTTCTAATCAAGGCCTTTCTAGAGAGTTGTTTGAACCTATATATTTTCATCAGATCAAAGCTATCTTATATGCATGACAGGCAAAGTAAAGAGCACGCTGCACTTTCCCACCTTCTCTCAAAGTTTGAAATGGAGTGTTAAGAACCAACCTAAGAGTCATTTATCTGTCAAATGAAGATCAAGGATAGTTAAGGGCCTCTGGCACACAGAGAGCAAGAATAATTAAGGTTCCCTGGCAAAGCTGATGGTGCAGTCTGTCCCCATCCAGCTTTAAAAAGGACTGCTATTACAAAACAAAACCTTGGGAAAGTTTGAATACATTCCCTTTAATATCCAGGAAGGTCACTACCTGTTTTTCCTATCAATGATAAGAGAAAAGAAAGAGCAGAAGTTATCTTCTCTAATATTCTAGCGAAAACATCCCTGCTGACTGTTCAGTGGCAGACTATTAGCGAGCATTAACAACAACAATACTGCTCCTCTGAATTTGTTGTACTCCTAACAGTTAAAAAATAACCAGCTAAATGAAAAAAGCAAGAAGTCTAAATTATGTCTGCAGTCTGATCAAAACTTAGACTCATAGTTTGAAGGTATTTTGAGCTGATGTTTGAATCCATCTCCATGTGTGTGGATAACTAAGATCATAAAGAAAGGAGTTGATCATAGGGAAACAAAAAAAAAAGTCCCAAAAAAGGAAAACTTTAATTTATACTGAATATTTGGATGACACTAGGAAAGAAACTGGAATGTCTCTAGAGACTGCAGTTTGAGGACTATTATAGTCTGTGATACCTAAACAGATGACATTGCTAGGTTGATTAGAGGTTATGCAGCTGAACATTTTGCTGTCAGAAAATGTGATTAGTGAAAAGTGAAACACATTATAATTGACAATTCTATTTCTAAGAAAAAAACCCAGAGAAATGTTTTGTTTCATGCTTAGAAAACAAGAGATTTATAAACGAAGTATTTAAGAATAAAACATTTTGATTAAACCCCCAGAAGTAGGTTTAAGAATTGCCTTCACAGAATTTTTTTATTATTATTATTATTCAATTTCAGAAAAAAAAAAACACATGCATTTTGAATATAAGGAAAGGTTTCATTCCTTCCCATATGAATACATCTCTCATTAACTAATATAGTATCCTCCTGTTTCTCAATTTTCCAGGGGTGTTTTGGGAGCCCCTGGATTTGCTGCCTCTTAAGAGATGTAGCTCCACGGAGCAGTGAGAACTTCTGAGCCTGCCACGCCCTCAACAAGGACTGTACTTCAGCTCTAAGACTCTGACTTTTCAATGGACATTTTAAGTGAAAAAAAATAGTAATCCATCAGTATCTAAACACTTATGAAATACCTCATTTCACCATTTTTATGGTGATGAAAAGCAGAGAACAATTTCAGACCAGACTTACTTCTGTATATAGTGCCAAGAACAAAATACAGGTGATCTCCACCTAACTACATTTTGATAATTTTTCATTCCAAAACGGAAAAGTTACCTTTGTTTGAAAACATCGTAGTTGTTGCTCAACAAATGGATGAAAATCCACTCAATAACCAGTCTGTATCAAAGTTGTGACTCACAGTGGTCCTCAGCGCAGTGAAACAGTGCACAGAACTGATGATACCAGGCTAGGGGAGGAGAAAAATTTAACTCCATTAATGAATTCCATTAAAGCTGATTGTACTATCTATTACTAACATCACCAAAACATCTACCACTGCTTTTCACTAAAAACGTTTCTTTGTTAAGTTTTAGCACTTCTAGCAAAAACTGTGTCTCAGAGTATACTGAATGTTTGTCATTCACCACAGTTTCTTCTTTGGAAATAAATCATAGAAATGATTATATACTGCAAGAAACACTGGCATCTGGACAACTTCTCTCTTTTCCTTTAGACTCATTGAAGCCCATTCAAAATTTCCTAAAAGCCACTATTTTAGACAGAATGTATTGAGAACTGTGGCTGGAGGTACCCACATTTGAGTAGGACAGTACATATAAATAAAGGGTAGAATGGTACCAAAGTCAAGCAGAGGGTACAAACAACAGAGCAACATTATGCTTTATACAGATTCAATGTCACTGGTTGTCACGGGCCTGTAACACCACACTGGTTCAGTTAGTGACGGTTTAAATTTTCACTGTATACGCATTCCTTATGGAAGTGCTTTGTATCTGTATTGAAATATTTCCTCCTCTGTTTTTTGATCTGTCACACTCTTGGTCATTCCCTTATACCTCCATCCAAGAGCAGCATTCAGAAGAAGAATCACTGAACACATCTGGGAATCTACATTTAAAAAGCTGGGCTCTGTAAGATTCACTGTGGAAGTAGCCATTGTCTTCATGGTCAAAACCTTGGGAATCAAATTTCAGCACAAGTTACAGAATCTTCAAGTATGCTGCAGTGTACTCTATCCATCATAATTCATATTCTACTGCACTGTAAATTATTACAAAAAATAATTTACAGAGCAGATAAAGGTCATGCAACTATAGAGAGAAAAGAAGCAAATGAGGAACATTTCATTCATTCTCAAAGACAAGAAAACTGTTTGCACAATATAGACTGTTCTTCAGAAATTTAAGGTAAATATGTTTTCATTAAGCGGGTAAATACAGCAAAAACAAGAACTAAACCTATTGTCTTGCCGGTTTTAAATGGTTTTCTTTTTTAATATCTTTTTTAATAAGGTCTTATTTAGACCTTAGGAGCCTTTATTTATCTGTCTAGAGTTGAACCAATTGCATAGTTCTCAGAAATACCCATTTTTAGATATTTGGCACTCAGTGCCAGAATTACAAAGCTTTTTAGGTGTCTAAAAATACAGATGGAGATGGGTACCTCAGAGTAGGTAGTAGTTTCAATTCCTTTCTTAAGAAGGATAACAAATGTGAGCCGTTCTCAACTCTTGGAATAAAATAAAACCAAAACATTGACTTAGGCACTCATTCGTAAAAAGATTATTCCAGTTTGCAGGTAACAAACAGTGAAGCACCTTACTTGGAGCTGCTGGCAGGCAGCTAGGCTCTAGAGGAGAGTGCCGATTAAGATGAACGTAAAAGCCATCCCAGCGGTTTCTATTCTTTGCTCTGGATGGCTCTGTATTCAGCATATTGGTTTCTTTGCACTGCATTTCCTAGGTGCCTTGTTCCTTCCTGTTCCCTGCACACTTTTTAGGAGATTTAAGAACCCCCTTCTAAATTCTAGATTCCAGTCCGCAGGCCAGACATCTAAAAATCAGGCCCTGCAGTATCTAAGCTCTTATCAAACAATTTTTATTTCACAAAAACATCCTTTTACATGGCAGCAGAGAATCTATATTTAGAAAGATAGAGAGGAAAGATCTAGCAACAAAAACGCATCAACACTTTGCACATTAGAAGTGAAGCTACATCCTTCTTCATCTAGAAAAAGGACAGAGTCAATGATTTAACTACTTGTCCACAGGCAAAAATGATTAAATCATTGAAGGAGACACTTCCTGTGTAAAATGATGGAACAGTTCACATGGAGAGCACATGTATGTATCATGACTCACGTTCCAAAAAGGGTATGTGACGACACACACACAGCTACCAACGTCAAACACTGAACAACTTGTAGAAGTCCTTCGGCAATTCAAAAAAGAAAACAAGAAAAACTGAGACAGCTAAAATAAGCTGAATGATAAATATGAAAAGTTCACTTTACACCTGTGACATGCCATTTTGCTGAATCTAACCAATCTTAAGTTTCAGAGGTGAACTGAAATGTGAGCAGCAATGTACATGCCTACAACATTGTTAGATTTAAATGTTTTAATATGATTTACAGAATCACAAATGCTTGTGTTGTAGTTTCCAAACAAACTGAGCTTGAGAGGAAGTAAATCAAAACTGTTTTATAACATGTCTAGAGAACTCTCAAACAGCCAGCAGGATACATAAATTTCAAATCACATTGACTCCTCTTAAAAATAGGGCTACACAACTGCAGCAAGATCCATCTCCTAATCAAGTAATCAAGCTACTGCCACAATGATACTGTTTATTCTGAGGCAAGTAATCCCACTGGAACAGGAAGCCCTGCTCTTTTCACAGGTTTCCTCTCTGCAAGCTCACCTGTTGCACAAACACACTCCCATCAACTTCTCTCGGGCCACGGATAGGCAAAAGCGCCATTTTCTGATGACAGGCCATATGATAGCATTCCCAAAGCTTTCAGATTATCACGTTCAATGTAATAATAAAAGACGATGTTGCGAGTTCAAATTTAATATACTGATAATATTCTGCTCCTGTAAAATTTAGAAGCATATAAATAACAAACCGTTATAGTGACAACTACAGAATTTCTAATGTTTATAGAAAACTGGCAGTTCATAAATATTAAAGTATGTTGTTAACTATAAACTACAACATATAGAAGCTGTTTTTCCCTAAAGATGGGAAAACACTAAGCATCACTGAAATAATTCATTATTTATAGACCTTTGAATTTTAAAGCCACATGACTGCACTACAATTTTTTCATTAAAATTCAAAAAAGTATCTGTTTGTTATTCCTTTGATGAATGGGCTGAAGGCAATGGATCCCATAACCACTGCTGACAGATTTCCCAATGATACAGTGGTATTTGCCACTTTATCATCAATACAGTTTTTAAAATAAGCCCTAATATTGCCAAATAACTATCACATAGCTTCATTAAAGCTAAAACATAGGGATCTTGTCACAGTTAGAGATGGCAATTATGTATCTGTAATTTGCATCCTGCAAGCGTTACAGTGAGGAAAAATATACTCTAAGACAAACTTCCCTTTAGGCTCATTATAGGAAACATCTAATGTTTCCAGAGTTAAAAAAGAACCCAATCAAGTTTGATATCCAGTCAAATTTGATATCTAGCCTTGAAAGTATTCTGACAGCTCCTAGAATCCTTCAGCTAGTTTATATCTGCAGTCAGATTCTTTGCCCTTTCAAGCTCAATGGGTATCACTTTTTTTTTTTTTTTGTTTTTTAAACGTTACTTTCCTTTTTGTGATGCTGTCTGTCAGAAAGATCCCAACTGCAAACGGGAATGGACTAACAACAAATTACTGAGAGTAATCAAAACACCAAACTGAAAACCTAGAAATATTTTCTATAGTCTTTCTCCCTGTGCTACGGTAAGTTTGGGTGTTGTTAGCAGCAGCAGTGTGACTGTCCAGGAGTCTATTTTCTATCCAAATTTTAGATGATTCTGATATGAGCTTTTTAAAACAGGAAGCTTGGGAGGAAAAACAGTTGTTTCATCAAGGTTTGTTCAAAAAAAGAATTTGTGATCTTATTTCAAAAAATGACTTCTCCATCAAACTCCATGCAAAGTTTTCTTGAAAGATTTAATGGAGATCCAGAGATAACTATGAGATTGGGAAAGACATGCTTCGTAAGTTTTATTGACTGGTAAATTACACGCATAAGATCAGTCTATTAGGCTTAAGCTGACTTCTAAAAAGTTGCTAAATGACTAACAGGGAGCTAAGCTACTGGATCCAAATTTTCCTCTCAGTAGATTCCCACTGTGCCTTCCCCTTTCCTCTTGTGCATACAGGAACTTTTGAGGATTTTAACAAGCTGCAGCTACACCGTCCTGCTACAGTGCCCAGGTGTATCTTTCAACACCCAAATTTCCTGCCTGCCCATGCTGTGTGGCCTTGAACCTCACTCAGGGCATCATAAAAGCAGCCTTGCTGAAATACTGCAGAGGAGAAAGAAAGAGGATGACCTCGGGAACCTCTGGCATACAACCTTCATCAACCTGGATCCCTTAACACACACTGCCTGTGTCCTTATGCCTTGCTGTCACACTACTCCAATATGTGGCACCTTTCCTCAAACAGGCACGCCCAGCTGACCTGATGTTGCCATACCAGGAACAAAGCAACTAGGAAGTCCACTCTATCCCATAAGAAACCTCAAGATTCAGTGGGAGCAGGTTATATGCACACTCCTTACTGGAGCTAGAATCTGCCTCATTTCTACAGTGCTGAGAGGTGTTTAGGTAATCTGGCCACAATGCCCAATTCCACATCCTCCTGGCTCACTGGCTTTCACATATGGCACCCCACTAGGCTGGAGTGCTTCATCCAGCACTTAGCCAAGGGCTAACGTTATTGCAATGACTGCCAAATAATCCAAGTCTGCCTAGCAACCAGCAGCATCCCAATGAACTGCCAGTTCAGCACTTCTAGTACCATTTCATCTTTTATCAGCCTCTGAAACAGGATGCTCAGCCACAGCTCCCCTCTCTGACCATTTCTGAACAGGCACCAATGTAGTCCACAGCCACTGTGCACAGCACTCAAGCACACAGCTTGGAATAAGCCTAACAGAAATTGGTATTATCCACATTATACAAGTATTCCCTGTGATGGTCAGAACATATGTATCAGATGAGACCCATGAGATGACAAAAGCTCAAATGGGATCCAAGAAGCAGATCAGCGGCTGGTGGGAACCGAGTACCTCCCTGTTATGGGTGGAGCACTTCTGTGTATACCGACAGAAGGAGAACTTCAGGCTATTCGGAAGTTTCAAGCAGAAAAGAAGAAACTAGTGATCTTAGGCGCCTCTAGCATTAAGCAGTTTCTGAGCAAGGTGTTT